GTGCGACACTCGACTATAAAAGCCTCATTCTACGGTGTGCATATTAATTGTCGTCTAGTGCTCAATAAAGCACTTCGTCTCCGGAGCTGTAACATTACGTTGTTCGGATATAAACGAGATTTTGAACTTACGAAGCGATGTTTCAGCTCGATACCCGAGAGGAAAGCGGAGGGTACACAAGTGATCAAGAAACGAGGAATGTTTTGGTTACTTGTGCTCTCTTCTTTCCTAGCACTACCGTACTGACTATAGAGTTTTTTAATTCCATATGATATTGTCGATAGCGGGATCATCCCAAAAACTCGCAATCAAAGCGAAGCGCTCTCAGTCGATGACCGTCTTGAGCTTTGTTTTTCTAAACTCTGCAACTGTCCCTCCAAGAAACTGGGAAAACCAGAAGTTGGCGCGGGGGAGACGGTCCGATCCCATGTAGAACTTGGAACAACAGCGACTTCACTCAGACAAAACTTTCAGAGGATGATATGATCTATTTCATTATGTAACTGTGTACCAGATATACCCGAGTCAAATGCAAATGAGAGGGCCTCTGGAACTGCGAATTACCATGCCCGGTTGAAACTGCGAATTACCATACACGGTAAGGATCGACACTATAAAATGAGCACTTTTTCCACCTGACTCTTTCACTTCGTTCTTCGAATGCCAATGTGAAGTTTTCCAGCTGTTCTCTAGATTTAATCTTTGTGAAATTACCGAAGATTTGTTGGCTAATATGCTCTTGTCTGTACAGCTCTTCCAGGTTTATGTAAAGTGCCTCTGGTTCCTCCCGGTTAGTTCCCAGTTACATGGATGCAAGCTTTTAGCTGTTTCGATGTATCATGATATCATCCGCACCCGCAGGCTCTCATCACGTAATGATGCACAGAAGACAAGGTATCAATCGGCACAAAACAAGTAGACCTGAATCCATCTGCGTTTCCGGGCAACCGCATTTGAGTCCGCGATTTATTACCCTATTCGCCACCAAGAGTTGCGCCACGTGATATGAAAATTGAGAGTTAACTTAAAATCAAAATGGACCAGCAAGTTGTTTTTTGTAAAGCAGAGCCGTACCCTCTGGAAGCAATGTAAAGCTTGTTATCAGCATGTATGCGAAAAAATAGAGGCAAATCACGATTGCGGCTGGAAGCCTAACGTTTTCGAGTCAGCATCGAGCTTCACTTTGAGTCACTGCTTTCAAAATATTTTGAATTGAAAAACTCGCTCTGCACCGCTCACTATGCCAAAGAAATGAATGCAAGAAAGTTCATTTTAGCTCACACTTATTTGTATTTAGAACATAACTCGTTCAACAAAAAAGATGATCGCTTTCATGAAAAAATCGACTTTAGGAATCGTCGCAGGAGCCTTTCAAGATAGAAGACGATTCCATGATAGATGAAGTGCCGTCATTGAACAAGGTGAGGGAAATGACAGATTGTCACGCAGTTAGCAGTCTTGTGCCCTCTGACATGATTTTCGCTGCAAATTTGATGTTGTTTATTCATTTTTAGCCTCCGTCCATTACTGTAGAAGTGAAGGGATCGGCTCATGATATGGTTACAATGCTTCAACAAACACCATTTACAATTTCGGTCATTGAACAGCTGCTCAATTGCGATACTTGGCCTCTAGAGGAAGTGAAACTCGTTGCAAGGAAGGATATAGCTAGCGAAGATTCCAAATCGAAAGAATCTCGCGAAGTCCTTGTAAGTTATAACGATAGATTCTTTTTGCCCTTTATTTGAAGAGTAATTTATTTGGGTTTCATTGTCAAAGTAACTAGTTTAAATGTCAGCTGGTTTAAATTTAGCATGGTTAATGGGCATCATTTATTCAGCTCTCGATTTTGTTTGTTGTCTTTAATGCGTTATCATACATTTCCGACAAATACTGCCTGCCGATCTGTTGTCGGATTGAGCTGATCAGTTAGGATGTGCCTGTCTTGCGAAGGACGAACAAAACGGTCTACCACACTATCTAAAATGAAGAATCTCCACTGTTGTTGCCTGCGCAGGGACAATTGGCTCTTAGTCTAGGGCTATAGCGTTGTTATTACTTTTTGGTAGTCATTCTGAATGGGCGCTGCTCTTTTCTGAACAAGGTTTGCCCATTCTATGATGTGGCTTCATTGGGAGGGCTTGAGTTTGTTTTCTTTCTTGCGTAGATTCAAAAGAAATCAGTTATAGAAAGTTTAAATTACGGTGGAAAAGCAGTTCCGTGCGAAATACAGTAGTCGTATACTAAGAAAACCTGTTCAGATCAAGCGAACCTTCGCCAGTGCTTTGGTACTCTTACATCGTTGTGGGCTTGTATCGTACAACTCGTTGTGTAAAGGATCTCTTTGGGATGGAGTGAGTACTGCAATCGCCGTTCTTTCAAAACTTACATTGTGGTTTCTTAAAGTTTCATTTATTACTAGAATGGGTCACTATGCCTTTCTCTCCGCGAATTTTCCATCTATGTACTACCACTCATTTACTTTCATTGAGAACATCATTTGCAGTTGAATCATGTGTTTGATATGAACTACGAAACACCTCGACTGATCAAATACCCTACTCTTCATGAGATCATTATGTTCGCGTAAGTCGTTTCGGAAACTCATAAGAATGAGTGGTTCGGTAAGGATTATATAGACCAATTAATTCAACATTACAGGCGCTCTGTGGATTACCACTACCCCTCAATGATTCTCCGGTTGATGGACGTCACACAAGCGTACTCTTTGGACTCAATTCACTTGCAGGTTAATTATTTTTCAGTTTTTTTTTATAATAAGGCTTAGGCCTTATTTGCGGAGTAGATATACACTTGAAATACTTACTAACGTCCCTAGTATTCACCATGTGGGGATTTCAGGTGAAGCGTACCTGTGGCGAAAAACTGGGCGCAGCTGGGGACACACATGAAATGAATTGGTGAGCATCCTAATGATCTTTTTTCCTTCCGAGCTTGAAAGACTTTTATGTTTCGGTTGAGTGCTTATCCTATAAGTTGCGAGGCGATTCTGCTGTAAGGCTCCTTTCTCCATATCATTCCCGATATTGCAGTGATCTTCATGAAGTTGAGTTCTCAGTGAAAGGTGAAGCAGGTGGACAACAAGCAAAACATTGTGCTGGTACTTTCGAGGTACTTCGTTTAGTTCCATTTTTTTGTGCTTGCTTTTTTGTTTGAAATGGCTGGGAAGTCAGTTTGAGTGCATGTATCATTATGTGTGCAGCCCAGGTGAAGAGTTAGGCTACATGACGGCGACAGGTAGCCTAACTCTACACTTGGGTAGGGGTCAGGCTCATTTCCACTTGTATTTTCATCAGATTCATTCGATTTACGGTATCAGTTCTCAGATACTGGACGAATATCCAGAGAGAAATGAACTCGTCGACGGCCTGCCTAGTAGAAAGTTCTATTCCGCGGTGTTCAAAGAGCACAAGGTGCTCTCAGAGAATGTTCCTGACAGCATTCATGTCCACGCCTTTGCGGATAGGTGGGAAGTTTTTTTCATGCAGCCGCGCGTAATCAACATAAGTGAATTTTTAGATAAAGCTCTTTTCTGATAAACCCATTTCTATAGGTTGAATATCCTGCATGTTCTTATAATTGGACCAAGAGGAACACCTTTCGACACCACTCCCTTCTTCTTCAAATTCAAACTGCCTGCCGACTACCCGCAAAAACCGCCCGAGGTGTGTTAGGAATAGAGCTTGATGATAATTAAGAGTACTGTATTTCTTTTTTGAAAAGAATGGCTTGAAAATCAAGAAAAAATTAAGTATTGTGGTTGTTTTTGTAGGTCACGTACGTAGCTTACTCCCAAGAACAACTCAATCCAAACCTTTATCAGAATGGAAAAGTGTGCACTAGCCTTCTTGGCACATGGTCAGGCCAGGTGAGCCAATATATGCAATTGTATCGCAAGCTGGTCAAACCGTTCGGTTTTTTAGGGTGTTGAAACATGGAACCCTGCAAAGTCAAACATTTTCCAAGTACTGCTTTCAATACAAGGTTTGAAGAAAACCGTACCTTTTGGAGTTTTCAGAAAAAATAACTCATTTTCTTCTACTGAGCTTTCTTTTAGCCTTGATCTTGGTACCTGAACCATATTTCAATGAAGCTGGATATGAGTCGCGAAAGCAACAGTCGGAAATGTCTGACCGATCTCGTCGCTATAATGAGACCGCTACTATCAATTCTCTTGAATATCTACTTAAGGTGACACATCTTATGCGTCCTTTTTATTACTACATGGTGTTAAAAACTTGCTTCTGAAGGCAAGGCTACAACGACAAAGTTTTGATTACATCTTTCCTACGTAGTTATGCAAAATCCTCTAAGTTTGACAGAAAAATCGCAATAAGTGGTTGTGATTGAAATTGTCGACTTGGGTAATTGCCTGGGATTGTGCTTTGCTCTTTAGCTCTAAAAGCTTGAAAGGAAAAAATCATGGGAAATGGAACTGCTAATTTTCGGCAACATCCTCGGAAATCACAAGGAGTCATTATGCAGTACACCCCTCCAGAGTACTTTTGAAGGGGGGCAGTGTACGGCGTCTGACTGGTACAACCCACAAGACTTCATTCTCCCCCCACAGGAGTCAAGCAGCTTCTCCTTTTTGAGGCAAGAAGATCCAGAGATAGGTCAGCGCGAGCGAGGAATTTCCTCCTGACGTCTGCCTCTGTAAGTCTTCAAAAATGATAGGCACAAGTTGCAGGCCCACTTCGTGATTCTCGCCACTTCATCGTACCAAGTAGGTCACCTGGCAAGTGTGCCATGAACTGGAACTTGGTCAGCATTGCCTGAGAAAAAAACCGAGTCAACTTTCTGTTGGGAAAAATGGCATATATGTTTTGTCTTTCTGTTTTAGTAGCTGAAAAGCGCTAATTCTCAAATATGACTCATCATTGAAACCTAAATTCTTGNCTAATCCATGAACTTTGAACTCTTTTCCTCTCTGGTAAAATTTGGTAAAATTGGGTAGATTTATAACATTTAACTTTTTTTCGTAGGAACAGCCACCACCTGAGCCTGCCACGTTATGGGAAGGAATATGAGTAATCGAATAGTCTTACTTTAGGTTTATCTGGAACCGCCGGGCGACTTCAAAGAGTTGATCAAATCTTTTGTAGAGAAGTCATGGATAGAGTAAGTTGAAGTTTTGTACTTAGGGTGATATTAAAGTTACTTACACTTATTGTCTCCAAATCGCGCCTCTTTGATTAGGGCAGGACTAACTTTGAAGGCGTATGTGTATTCAAAGGTTAGGATTATTAAGTGGCGCTAAATGGGGAATAACGAACAAAGTTGATCAGTCGCGCTTTGAATGCGCTCCCTCATTCGACTTCTATGCAGAATCGTAGTGACATATTAAATGCTGATTCGACCGTTGCAATGACTTTCGGTGGCTAGACTTGAACAAAACAACCAAAAAATAGGATCACTATGACATTGATTTTCTATTCCCTTTGGCTCTAGAATATGACGATAGAATGAAAACCTTTTTACTAGCTCTCTCGAAGACGGCTTTGATAAGATAGTGTTCAAAATAGACTTTTCTTTGTCTTCAAACCATGTTCTGTTCATTTTTCGTGAAGCCTTTCATTTAACAAATCCATGTTTCTTCTGCGTCACACCACCTATGTATGAATCGTGTGGTTCGTACGTTTCTGCAAGATATTCCATCCGGGTCATTCTTCAAAGGATTTGCTGACGCGTAGTCTCCTCATTTTGTGCTCTGTCGAGATTTTAGGAAGTTTGTAGATTGAAAGAAAGCCTCACTTTTACAGTGTAGGAACAGTAGTTCCATGCAAAGATCGATCTGCTGCTCCATCGAGCAGTATGCGATCCTTACAAAAGTTGTGTTCCTGAAACAACGAAGTAATGCCTCCTTGAAGGTGATATTTCGCCGAAGGCCATTCGAAGTACTGTTAAAGAGGAGTTCTATAAATACTGCTGGTTGAGGCACACAATATGGATGGAAAGAGTAGGAAAATGTAAAAGTTATACACAGCTGATCATGTAACCTTTTGGGTTGTCTTTCAAAATGACGAAGCCATTGACATTGCATTCAAATAGCGAAGTCATAGATAACGATCTTCAACTGAAAATAACTACTTATGAGTAAGAGAGCATTTTGACTAGGGCGATGGTGTACTGGAGTGAAACAATATCCAAAGATATCATTTGATTTCATGAAAATATTCATTGGAATCAATCCTGTTACATATCACAATATTGTTCTGAGGCGCACTGATTTTGTGAGTTGAAAATACTTTTTTGTACGGACGTACACCATGTACAGAACGAGGCCGCCCTGGGATTTTGGTCGTCTGCTAAGAATAACTGTTCGTTCCCATGATGAACTTCACCAATATTTCTTTTTTCTGACTTTAATCTGTTATCATCAGGGGTTTTCTATGTTCAGGTTGAGACAGCGCATAAATGGATGGATCAGTGGCACAGCTGATCCATCGTTCCCTGTAATGGGGTCTAAAGGATTCAAAATGGCCCTGAAAAAAGCTGTCGATCGACTCGATGCGGCAATCAAACCCTGTGTAATGGAAGAAGAAGGCCAAGATGAACCAATGGATTTGAGTACGGGAAATGAAAGCACTTCGAAGGTTATTTTGCCAAACCATTGCCATCTTCTCTTTCAAATATATCTTTTACACAATTTCCATCTTTCAAGGTCGTGGATGAAGAGCGTAATGAACGAATATATGAATGGACAATAAAAGCTGAAATGAAGCCTACATCACACTAGGAATCTTTTGGATCAATCTGTGTTCATGTCCTGGTGACACCCTCTTGCTTTCTGTGTTACTAACGTAATAGAGTTTATATAATGACAGCTGTTTTGATTAGCAGTTTCACAGCTTCGTCTATTCTTTGCATGTGATTGATTAAAGGGTGTGTAGTAAGTCCGGTGAAAACGGGTCCGTAGGCTTAGATAAATACTTTTTATAAAGTACGCGATTTTACAGTAAATACATGTTTTTAGAAAAAATACAGTATGCACAATACTTTTCACAAGAGTAATACTATTGGGTTTTGGGCAAGTAGCGAGAATTAGCAGGACAGAGAACGTTTTGGGACTACTGAGATTTCAAGACTGCTTCTACCAGAGACTCCAATTCTCCTTCGTGCAACAGCCTTGCGATATCGTCGCCGCCGCCTATGAACTCTCCTCCGATGAATACCTTCAAGATACAATTGATTAGGGAGTATTAAAGCTCATAAAACTTCATAGGAATGTTGAATTCCTATACAATTTCCATCTTACCTTGGGGACTGATCTGCTACCATATCTCTTCTGAAATTCGTCCTGTATCGCGTCAACAGGCAAATCCGTTCGTTCATCTAGTTCAATGTATTCATACTGCTCCTTTCGAAGCCGTAATGTTGCCAATGCTGCTTTCGCCTTTCTAAAAATACCATTATACCTACCCACAAATTTGTACTCGACAACATGGCAGCGACTGCTGCCCAGCTTGGCCTGTCGCAGTTTTGTCACATCTTTTCTCGTGTTCATCAGTGAGAAATATAACCACTACTAGGGAAAAAGTATAACCACTTCTAAGGGAAAAGTATAACCAATTTTAGGGAAAATGGGTACGAGAAACGATCTCACCCTTTACAAAACCCTCGTCACTTGTAGAGATAAATATATAGGTACTCTGTCTCTTCCGCGCAGAACACCTTTTCGTCAGATAAAAATATGTGGAATTCGGTACCGCGTAGTAGTGGGTATAGTATTTGCTTTTTCTTGAACTTCTTTTCGTCAAAAAATTCATATGGTCTCCGAAACATATCTGGATATTACTGTATTTGCTCGGGGAAGACAATTCTCATTGATGTAGAACATACATTCAATTCGGCAGTCATTTTTCTTGTGCTGAGCTTAGAGTTGGTCGTTCACCTGACCACGCATCGCGATACGAGAGACTGTCACGCAAGAAATTTCGAAAACACGAAAGGCTCCGGAAATGGACTACTAAATGGGCGCAAGGAAGAAACGGCTGCTGAATGATTCACCTTTTTCAACTTTCGCAAACTGGCGATTATAGAGCATCAAAGCAGTTGCATTAGCAAAGGTAAATGATAAACATAAGAGAAGGTGCAGATTTGGAAAACCCTCTAAACAAGAGAATGGCGGCTTCCGTAAAATTGTTACCATCGGACCGTGTATTCAGTGAGCTTCAGTTCAGAAACGGGTCGTCGGAATACTTGATAGGGTAGAAAAAGACAGTTTCAGTTATTTAACATTGGAATCAAAACGATTATACCTGCAATACGAACACCATGTCTTGCTGAACACGACGACGGGCTTGGCAGAAATGTGAGCATCGATGAATTCTCCCGGACTCTGACGTTTGTCCGCCATCTTCTTTTTCATGTTCAGGTCACGCGATATGAGGGTGGTTTCCAAAACACTCTTATTTCGCAGATCCTAAGACGGAGAAATGATATTCAGCAAACTATTTTGTGATCGAGAAATTTCCTAGACTGTAGTAGTAGACTGGTGCATTAACAAAATCCTTGTGCTGTTCATCGAAACTGAACTTCATGGGATCACTAAAGCCGCGGGTCACGTTAAAAATGGTTTCTCAGAATTCTCCTTTAGGATGAAACTGTGGTCCTTAAAAATAGCACGTGGGACACTTTTGGGTTGGAAAACTACCTCTACAGAGAGTTATAAGCGCGTCAAAATCTACTTGGCCTATGTACATTCACAAAAGTGGCCTGTTATGAGCCTTGTTTAGGCTGCATCATTCGCAAAGAAGTGTCAGGACGCCAACGAATAGTAGGCCTATGTGGGAGACACACAGACAGTTACAGACCCAAATCTCACACCGCCCCTATGTTCTACTTTTTGAAGCCTTATTTTTAACAGAAGCCGGCGTTTTTCGCACTTTTTTCACTTCTCGATGTTCTCGATTCTCGTTCCCTTATTAAAATTTCTCCATGTGTTTAAGGACAAATGCACCTTCTCCATGAGCTCGAGCTTTTTACGAGCAGCTTCTTCGGCAGCTCGCTTGGCTTCTTCTGCAACAGCATCGTGACGTCGTTGTTGAGCCTCTCGAGCTATTTCCAACCTTGTGGCGATACGAGCGTGAACATTTTCATCTGAAAACTTGCATACCTATCTTTGTAAAATAGACTGAAAACGATCGACTTACCGAACTTTTTCCTTTCGATCAATTCCTTCGATTCCCATATTGCTTTTAATTTTGGCCGGATCAAGTTATTGAAGATGAAATAGGCCAGAAGGCAAGTAAACGTGAGTAGCCACCCATATGGTGCCACGTGCTCCCATAACACTGCAACAATCCAGTTACAGGTACCATATAAGATTAGGAACAAGTTCTGCAATTTCATTACGATCTGTATTTCCTAACCAACATCAATGAGGTGAGAGGGCAAGCTGCAGGCAGGTTTTCCGTGCCTGTGATTTTCCCGTTTTTGGCAATGAAGAACTGTGGGTGTGGTGCAGTAGAATCGAAATTGTCGCGTGGCGGCGAGAGGGATGCTGCGGGCTCGAAGGAATGCAGCAGAAAGCAGCAGCAGGTAAGAAATGCAGAGGCAAAAGCACTAACAGTACAGTCATCCCCAAAATAATGATCGCATACCGAGTGAGCTGTATGAAGAACGTTAGAGCTGTCAAATCGGCGAAGCAAATGTTCCGCGACAGCTTAGTGCGGCGAATCGATTACACAGTACCGATTCTAATGCCCGTCTCCCAAGAACTGTCGATATTGCTGCGAAGAGGAAGAGAACATTTGAGGGACCGTCACTAACTACTAGAATTCAAATTCAGGATACACTTTGGTTGCCACGTAGACGATGTGCATACATACAGATGATGTAGTGAAAAGGGAGATTGGGTACTGACGAAAAGGACGAAAGGTGTTTTTGCGGCGAAAGCCGCTTGGGAAGCGTAATTAAGCAGCGAAAGTGCTGTTAGCAGTACTTCCAGCGGTCTTTCCTCCAAGGCCACGGAAGTACGCCGTCATACCCTACAACATACGGTAACGATACAAAGGGTGCTCATAGGAAAGCTAAGTAGGTAGTACCGTCTAAGGATGGGAGGATAATGTTTTTCGGCGTTAACCAATCCTGTCTGACCATGAGACATGCGTCCCGGATTCGTTTTCCATTCAGAATCGCAGTGCCGTATGAATGGTATGTGGCCTATACAATGAATTGTGGTGGTCAG